TGATGCTGCTTGGCCTGCTGTGTTCATCCAGCTCTACACCTTTTTATCTCAGATTCTCCAGCATCTGCAGTTCCTACTATCAGTGAAGCTAACAGCTTTTCTCCCCTGATTGGACAGTCTGGAATTACTGGGCATAATCTCAGGATAAGCATTTGAGTGAACTGCCTTCTTCGAAAGTTGTTAATCAGTGGAATTCTCTACACCAAAGTGCTGTGGATGCTTAGTGCTTGAATACATTGAAGGTTGAGATCAACAACTCAAAAGGAAATCTGGGGCTATGTGGATGCAACAGGAAAACAAAATTAAATCAAAGATCAGCCATGATTCTTTTAAAAAGTGGATTTGACTAGATGGTTGCATTGCCCACTGCTGCTCCTATTTATACTCTTTATGTTTTTACTTTCTGTTTGAAAATATACTTAAAATTCTGAAATTTGCATGTGTTGTGTAGAAGCAGCTTCCCACTTGCTTAGGCCACTTTCAAAACCTGGTAAGATGACTTTGACAGAGGCTTGATTTGAAGATAAGAAGACATGCACCTTCTAAAAAGAGATCTTCTAAAAACAGAATCTGTGGACAGCAACAGCCAAAGTCTTAAACATCACAAGATCCATCTTCCCTTCTTCAGTACACAATGTTTGACACACAGACAATACGTTCAACTTTTGCGCTGGGTTTTACTATCAAATCTGTCATAGCATTGATGTTGGGAACTCAATATGATCCATTCTCTATGCACTCCCAGAATGAACACCAGTGAACCAAATATGAACACCAGATTTCCTAGCTTTATATACTGCAAGGCCAAGATATTATTACCCTTCAAAAGAAATATGTAAATGTAATATTATTGTGAAATACAACTCAAATATTTTTGTTATTACAAATTAAAGTTTCACCTCTCTTCCCCTAATAACGTTTTAATGATCACCAATAACTATTCTATCTCACAGATCTGTCTTTCAGATAACACCCGTGCAGTAGCCCATTCTTTTGGTACTTTACTAAAATAATAAAACAAAGATCTAGGCTCACCATAGGAGTTACTGATCTCAGCAGTGGTATGCGAAGAAGAGACTGGATGTTACCTCATTGAAATGAAGTAAATAACTGAAGTCTTGAGTGAGAAATTCTGATTCACTCTTCCAATCTTCTAGTAATCTGATCAAAACTGTCTTCCTGGTAGAGCAAATGGCAAAACTGGTTAACATACCAGACTGCCATCTATTAACTGCTGCAATGATGACAGAATTGGTGCTACTTTGGTTTTAATCTATTTCCAGTGATCATGGCTTTACAAAACAAATCACTCCACAAAATACTGTTTCACTCAGAGAGACCATTCAAAATATTTATGTGATAAATGGCAATATTGAGTCATGTGAGAAGGTTTGAGTGGTGGAAGTAGGATTAAGTCACAGTAGAGGATTTCATTTGATCATGGTGACAGTTGCCACTAAAAATCAGAAATGTGAAGTGCCCCCACTCTCCAGCATTTACACTTCAATATGCTCCTAAATGCAACCTACCCAAGAGAGTAGTTCGCTTGAAAAAAATGGAGTTGGCAGTCCTCAGGAATGACTGTCTTTCCCATCAGGTGAGCTGCCTGTGAGAAACATATAAAATAGGAGCTATCGTAGGCCAGTCAGCCCTTTGAGTCTGTTCGACCATTCTACATGAACTTGGCTGCTCACTAAACTCAGTACTCCGTGCCATCTTTCGCCCCATACTCTTTGATCCCTTTAGCTCTAAAAACTGTATCTAACTCCTTCTGGAAACCATTAAATATTTTTGCCTCAACTGGCTTCACTGGCAGAGAATTCCACAGGCTTACCATTATCTAGGTGATCAAATTTCTCTGCATCTCAGTCTTAAATGGCATACCCCATATCCTAGACTGTGACCCCCTTGTTCTGGACTCCCTGGTTGTCAGGAACATTCTTCCTACGTTTACCCTGTCTAGTCCTGTTAGAATTTTATAGGTTTCTATGAGATCCCCTCTCTCCTCATTCTTCTAAACTCCAGTGAATATAGTCCTAGCTGATCCAGTATCCTTCCATTTAGCTGTCCTGGCATGCCAGAAATCAGTCTGGTAAACTTTCATTACACTCCTCCCATAGCTAGATCATCCTTCCTCAGATAAGGAGATCAAACTGCACATAATACTCCAGGTTAGGGTCTCAACAAGGCCCGATACAACGGTAGAAACCCTGCTCCTGGACATGAATTGTCTCACTATTAAAGCGAACACCCCATTTACCTTCTTCACCGCCTGCTAGACATTGCCTTCCCCAACATATTCAGGAAATTATTTGTGAAGATAGACCAAATTATGTATTAAATTGGTGTGCCATCTGTTTGTTCCCCATTATAATTTGCCTGTTTCTGACTGTAAGGGACCTACAGTTGTCTTCATTAGCCTTTTTTCTCTTCACATACCTATAAAAGCTTTTACAATCAATTTTTATGTTCCCTGTAAACTTATTCTCATTCTCTATTGTCCCGGTCTTAATCAATCCCTTTGTCCTCCTTTGCTGAAATCTAAACAGCTCCCAATCTTCGGGTCTGTTGCTTTTTTAAACTAATTTGTATGGCCCTTCCTGGGAGGGCCTTCTAATGTGATCCCTAATTTCCCTTGTTAGCCATGGACAGGCCAACTTGCCGGTTCATTGTTGTGTAATAAAGGTCACTGTTCCTTCATGCGCTCTTTAAATGGTTGCCATTGGCTGTCCACCATCATCCCTTTAAGTAACACTGCCCAAGTTATCATAGGCACCTCATGTTCATAGTTTCCTCTATTTAGATTCAGAACCCTAGTCTCAGAATCAACAATGGCACTCTCCATCTTATTGAAGAATTGGTTACTCTTGCTGAAGGTCTTGACACAGCTAGATAACCAATTTTCCTTTCTTGCTGCAGAATACCCAGTTTAGGATGGCTGTTCTTTCTTCTTTCTCTATCATTCTTAAAATCTGAATGCCCTGGATATTCAATCCCTATATCTGGTGATCTTACAGCCACATTTCCTTCATCCCAACTATACTACACCCATTTAAATCTATTTGCATGATTAATTCATCCACTTTATTGAGGGATATTTTCACTGGGGAGAAATTACAATAAAAATGGGAAAAAAAATTGCATAACAATGTTAAAGAAATGTTCCATTCCACTCGTATTACACAAAATTTAAATTTTATTTTTCGGGCCTTTTTTGTTTATTTTTGTAGAATTTTGCTAAAAGCAAAATAATAAAATAGAACAACAACAACTTTTGTTTGGTACAACAGAAAACATGTCCACGTAAGAACAAAACATAGCATATAGAGTCTTAAAGTCATAGATTTTCATCCCTTTTTCATGCTGTTTTGCACTCTGCAAGATGTGAGCTTGGCACAGGTGTCATGGTAAGTCAGTCTATCACAACTCCTTTCTTCTTAGATCCGTGTCAATTGATGCCACAGGCTTGAAGGCAAAATGCTTTCAACCTTTTCCATCACAAAGTTTAATGGAGCAAACAATGTACTGAGAAACTGGAGAGAAGAAATGATAGAGAAAAAAAAAACTCACTGGAGGAAAGATTTTAGAATTAAGTACAGGTAACAAGTGCTCAACAAATGGATATAGAAACTGAGCTTCAGCAACACTTATGTACAATATTTTAGAAACTTATCTAATTTTAAGAATTATAGATTATTTCTTTACATGTGAAGTAAAGGGCTTTTGTGACTTTAGCACTTCTTCAGAAAACATTGCAATTCTATGTACAATATTTCAATGAGAACAAGGTTGCAACACCTCATTCCATGATAACTCTTCTTTGAGGTAGTACAAAGAGTTGTGAACATTGGAGGCAGTAAATTTGGCTGAGCTAGCACCAAGGGAAAACAGTCAGCAGTTTTGTCTGGCATCCTTTATTCATTAACAGGATGAGGGCATCACTGGCTAGGCAGCATTTATTGTCCATCTGTAATTGCCCAGAGGGCAGTTGAGAGTCAACCACATTGCTGGGGGTCTGGACTCACATGTAGGCAAGACCAGGTAAGGACGGCAGTCTCCTTCCCTAAAGGACATGAGTGAACCAGATGGGTTTATCCAACAATCAACAATAGATTCATGGTCATCATTAGATTCTTAATTTCCAGATATTTTACTGAATTCAAATTCCACCATCTGCCATGGCAGGATTTGAATGCAGGTCCTCAGAATGTTATCTGGGTTTCTGGATTAACAGTCTAGTGATAATACCACTAGGCCATTGCCTCCCCAATAATCCTGGTCAACCGTATCCTTTAAGGGATAGAGAATAAATGCTGGCCTAACCAGCAACACCCACATTTCATGCAGGAATAATAAAAAGCAACATCACCAAAATAAATTAACTGGTTACTCAGTTAATTTGTTATTTATTATATATGTGACCTTGGCTGCACGTTTGCCTTCAAAAGCAAGAATTATGGCACCACAACTAATTCATAGTTGTGAAATGTTTCAGGATGTTTGAAGAAGTCATAAGCTGCTGTTTAAATGCAAGTTCATCTTTTCCCTTTATCTGATGCATTAATGGATAATAGTAAAGAGAATTTAGTCATTATGGCTAGTTGTAGCATCTTCACAGTCCAACCCATGCAGTATATCATACTATTTCTGGTCACAAATCAAGTTCATAAATTCACTGGTCAAAGGATCAGATGTAGCTGTTAATTCGTCATTACTACTTTACTTGTTGCCATAGAGTCATAGAGATGTACAGCACAGAAACAGACCCTTTGGTCCAACCAATCCATGCCAACCAGATATCCAGCATTTGGCCCATATCCCACTAAACCCTTCCAATCACGTACCGATCCAGATGCTTTTTAAATGTTATAATTGTACCGGCCTCCACCACTTCCTCTGGCAGCTGGTTCCATACAAGTTCTACGCTCTGCATGAAAAAAATGCCCCTTAGATCCCTTTTATATCTTTCCCCTCTCACTTTAAACCTATGCCCTCTAGATTTGGACTCCCTCACCCCAGGGAAAAGGCCTCGTCTATTTACCCTATCCATGTCCCTTATGATTTTATAAACCTCTGTAAGGTCTCCCCTCAGCCTCCGATGCTCCAGAGAAAATACCCCCAGCCTATTCAGCCTCTCCAACCCTGGCAACATCCTTGTAAATCTTTTCTGAACTTTCAAGTTTCACAACATCCTTCCTATAGCAGGGAGACCAGAATTGCACACAGTATTCCAAAAGTGGCTTGACCTGTACAGCTGCAACATGACCTCCCAACACCTATACTCAATGCACTGACCAATAAAGGCAAGTATACCAAGTGCCTTCTTCACTATCCTATCCACTTGCGACTCTGTTTCCAAGGAACTCTGAGCCTTCACTCCTAGGTCTCTTTGTTCAGCAACACTCCCCAGGACCTTAGCATTAAGTGTATAAGTCCCGCCCTGATTTGCCTTTCCAAAATGCAGCACCTCACATTTATCTAAATTAAATTCCATCAGCCACTTCTCCGCCCATTGGCCCATCTGATCAAGATCCCATTGTACTCTGAGGTAACCTTCTTCGCTGTCCACTACACCTTCAATTTTGGTGTCATCTGCAAACTTACTAACCATACCTCCTATGTTCTACAGTATTACTAGAACTGAGTACTGAATCCAACTATTAGAGCCCTATATTTCACACTTACAAGTGCAACAGAACTCCAGGCTGGTCCAGACCCACCAAACCTTGGCTTGCAACAAAACCTCACTGGGAAAACACTGAAGAGAAATAAAGTCTAAACATTAAGGGAAAAGTACACTATGAGGAGAACAAATTTGTGAGAGTGGGCCCATATTATAGGTGTACTGTTTATTTTAACAGTACATCTAAGGTGTGAATATTCCTCCTCCCCACTGAGCACAGTTTTCTGTCATGCCTATACTCTGGCATGATGCCAAGAGCAGGAGCAGCCATGTCAATGGGAATTCTATAAAAGCTGAGGAAGTAAACACAATTACTCCTTCAGGCCTGACAGTGACAGCCATATCCGGAGGGCTGCCATTTATAATCATCCAAACAGCCTCCAGACCCTCTGATTGTCCATGCAAGGCGAGAAATTGCAAAACTTTTGTGAGGAGTTGGAACCCATCACCAAAAATCCATTTTCACCTGATCTTGTGTGTTTGGCCCTTTGTGAGGCAGGAACCCAGGAAAATGGGTTCCACATGAATGATCCATCTGTTTCTTACAGAAACATTCCACCCACAGCCAGACTTGTTGCTGGAAATCTGTATGAAGTACAGAAGAGGAAGAGGAGGCTCTGTACATTTTATTCTCTGCTTCACACTGGGGAAACCTACATTATGCATACATGAAGCAGAGGAAAATTGGCTCCATATTTTTCTCTGAGCTCTGATCAGCAAATAAGAATAATGCTTGGAAGTAAGCCAGGCAGGTATGTATCAGATTTGTGAGAAAATTCTAGCAAATTAAACACCCATTGAGACACCAAAGTGGGAATAAGATATGACAGTGTAAAATGCTCACTTATTCAAAGCAACTGTTGTTCCCTCGCACGACATGCAGGTTGGAAAGCTCTTCAGATCCCATTCAAGTCTGTAAGATTATCAGATAATTGCTGGACCAACAGTCTTGCTGCTTTATGTAGCCTTGGGCCAATGTTGACATTTACTCCACTGCTGCTCTGCACAGCTGAGCAAACCCATTTTAAAAGCAGATGCTAAATGACACATTGTGCTAGCATGATTTATTTATAATGCCCTTCACAAAAGGTAGCAAGCTGAATACAATCAAATGCAAAATGTTGTCAAGGATGTATTTTAATTTTGAAGATAAATGAAGAGCTTTTATTTTCAATGCCAGATCCACACAGCAGTGAGGTGGAAACCATTACAATATTTAAGATTTAGATGAACATTTGAAAAGCGGCAGCACACAGGGCTATGGGTCAAGTGTTGGAAAATGGGATTAGAGTATATAGGGGCTTGATTACTGGCCTGGACATGTTGGGGTGAAGGGCCTCTGTCTGTGATATAATGGCCTATGACTCCACAATAAATGTGGGAATATCCCAGTGCCTAAGAGTTGGATTCAAACCATATTTCTTAACCAATGAGTCACTGTATTTGCTAATTAAAGCACATCTTATTACTCAGTAAAAACCGAAAGAACTACGGATGCTGTAAATCAGGAACAAAAACAGAAGTTGCTGGAAAAGCTCAGCAGGTCTGGCAGCATCTGTGGAGAAAAAAATCAGAGTTAACGTTTTGGGTCCGGTGACCCTTCCTCAGAACTGGAGTTTTTGCTCATTATTAAGTACCTGGTCTACTAATGGGGACATTTCAAATAACATCATCTTTAATTTCAACATCTCAGTTGGACCAATGGGCAGCAACATGGCATGGCTTTGTAAACAAATCACTTGGGTACAATTTGTCTACTTGGAATTTTACTTTTAAATTTGAACTATCAGTTAAAAGTTTGTCAAAGCATTCTTAACTGTTGTAATCACAACTTGTAATAATTTGATTCAACTTACCATCTAATTAAAGTAAGATTTAAATTGATTGCAAGGTATAAGAAACATGATAACTTATTTCATAATAATAAATTAAAACTGGTTTGAAATTAACATGGATAATCTCCAATGTCTCAATTCATCATTCCAGTGATTAACTTAGCCACACAGGCCAGCAAGAATTTCAGTCTGTAATCAGCGAGTTCAATCTTAAGTGTTAACACCAGTTCCAGCAGTGTCTCTGAATTAAGGACTAAAATAAACCGAGACTTATTCCAAACTACTATTCAGCAGCTTTTGCTGGAGAACTGAGGGTGCGTCAGGTGGCAGGTAAATGATGAGTATTCATCGTAGGCAGAAATTACAAACTTTTACTGCTCTCCTCTAACAGTTACAAACTGGTGACATCAAGGTATAATGGAAATAATGCAGGGAAGTGACGTTGTGGCACATTGCAGCAGCCCTAATCTAATTGAATGGTGGACCAGGTTGAATAGCCTACTTCTGCTTCTATATTCCTAAAAGCAACTAAAGTGTGCTTCCTGCGCTAACCCAAACGTTTAACCTAAGACGAACCATCTAATCACAATTTCTTACTTCTGACATGGGCCACTGTAACCATTGGGTTTTTTGACCAGGCTGAACATGACAACTGCAGACTGACCAGTGCTCTGAAGGCAGGCTGTCGAATAGAAACTACAAGCTTCTGAGACTCTGCCAAAGATTACAACCTGTTCTCTCTCTCTCAAACTCAAAATGTATTTAACATTTATGCAGCTATCAATCAAAGATGTTACTGCGAGACAAGAAAAAAGCTGGAGCCAATCAGCTGCATGTCAGAATTGAAAATCTTCACTCATTGCCAAAAACTTGAATGCCACAGAACAACCATCAGCTGCAATGAACAGAACGGATCAGCCTGTTAGAGACAACAACTATTATATAAATGCCAGAGAGAGGGTGATAATAATCTTTGTTTATTATTTTTAATCATATGTGCTGCAGATAGTGAAAG